CTTATTGAAAATAACTATAATAATGGCGTAACTAGTATTTCTGCACTTTACAATACAATTTATGGGTGTTTTGTTAACATCTTTTTTGAATTTTTTACCCCCTTTCTCTTGGCAATTTTTTAATTGTTTGTGGCATTTTCTCGCAAACGATTAGAAATATCATCATTATTCATGTAGTCAGTGACAATGTTGCATGACTTCTAGTGCCGTAACCATGGCAATATCATAGAATAAAAAATTACATCGTGAGAAAATTTACGATAAACAAACAAAGTTCTAAAAAGTTTTCTAAAATACACAGAAAAATTTAAAAACAACGAACGATTTTAAACATCTTTTTTGTGAAAACCCCCGAAAATATTTGCACTTATATCTCATTCTAATTGTTGATACCGGCAGACTGCAAAAAATACTGTCAAGTACCACTTTTCTTTAACGTCTTTTTATGTTTCAAGGACTAATCTGTCTGATCCCTACTCATTTTACGCCGATTTTGAACCACGAATCTGAGTCTTAATATGTATGATATCTACAAACTTGTGAAGCGAGTGTCTAAATTAACTCTTACTCCAGCCCAGACTGGAGATCCAACTCCATCCAGGCTGTAATCAAAGTGTTGTCAAATGGGTTGTAAAAAATTTAATTATATTATTTTGTCTTCAATAGCATATTAATTTAAAACTCTATTCTATGTAAAATTTAAAAAATCAATAAGTTTGTGTAAACACATTAATAAATATACAGGGTTTTATTTTCAGCCCCTTACAATAGAATTAGCATTTCGTTTTTACTATAATTAATCCTTTTTTCAGAACCAGTTTCCAATAAGTTTTACTTAAATTCAAGATATTGACATTCATTTCCATGAGAAAAAAAAAGAAAAAAAAAGAAAGTAAATACATCTGTATATTTTATGTAGTTAGATATTAATGAAAGTAACACCCTTGATTAAGGGTAACACCAAAACATCTAAAAGGCTGAGCGCTCTTTTCGCATTAGATGTAAGCAGTTGTTCACTTACAACCATTTAATTTTAATTATATTTTTAAATGTTTTATAATTTAGAAATATCTGTAATTACCTGTGGTAAAAATATTATACTTGGACGATAATTAGAACTTAGTTACAAGAATTTAATACGCAAGAAAAAGAAACTAAAAATTATCCTAAAGCTTCTAGATAAGATGGATAATATATTTAAGATGGATTTAGCAAATGGATAAAAAAATAGAATAATTTAATATATAATAAGTTTTGGAGCCTCAAGATGCTGTTCTATTTTACTTGACAGGAGAAGTCTTGGTGATCTCTTACTATATCCGAGAAAATTAGTATCTAGAAGGTGCATGACATTCTTGATAAAAGTTGTTGAATGAATATTGACGCTTGATAGACACATTGACACGTCTTTTTAGTTTATATACAATTACTTAACAATAATTATTCAAAATTAATGAGATTTCTAATAATATTAAATTTAATGTCATATAAGCACAAAACGAATAAAAACTTAGGCTTAACAGGGAAAAGCTAGTTAAAATTACACAATATAAAGTATTTTTAAATTTGAATACTTTGTATATCGAAAATTAAATTGAATAAGAGAAAATATATTACAGTTTCCTTTCTAAAACTAATTAAAAATAACCAACAACAATATTTTACAGCACCTAAGAAACACCCAGTAATATACTGTCATACGTAATTTATTTTGGGAAACTAAACCATGGTTTTCGGGAAGTTAGGCAACCTAAAGGGTATTTGTGGGCTAATGTTGGTCATGAAACTTCGTAGTTATGAAGAAAAAAGGCTAATAATTGTAACCTACATCATATATTTTTGGAGCAATTTGGAGCATTTTGTATTAGCTTACATAAAATGTGATTTTAGATTAAGGAGTTCTTAATTACATCATGGTCTTTATTGATTTTTTTATGGTACCAGGGAAGTTAAAACTAGAATTACCATGAGGGAAAACAGTTCAAAACATTGTACTTTCTCAGAGTACCATCAGTTTTTAACTAATTTATCACCAACGTTAAACGCACTAATTTTATTTAATCAAAATTTAATCAAAATATTTTAGCTTCAGCTAATAATTTTATAAGCTCGAACATTTCTTATCAGTACTCGTGCCTACTTTACCGGGTGCGGTCTCAAAAGTGGCTCATCCCCTATAACTTTTTTATATTTTCACATAAGAAAACAGATTTGGTATGTTAGTTAATGACGTAAATTAGGATTGGTTGACGTATTCAATTGTTTTTGGTCACTTCCTGTTTCACCAAAAATGACTAAAACTTTTGATTTTTAAATGTAACCGATTGATAGAAACGACAGTCTGAATAGAATGATATATCATATGTCAACTTTTGACATTTTCGCATAAGGTTTATTTGAAATTGCAACATGCGATTCATAACGACAATTTGACACGAAATACAAAGTAAGTGGTACCAAATTATTCCTAAAAAAATGTTTTTCTCCAAATATGCTCATTAGTCACCCTTGTTTCATTTGAAAAAATTGGGATATGATTAAAAAACGATTTGAACATCTTTTAACCGGCCAGGACAAGACACAAAAAATATTAGATGATAAAATCTATTTTTCTAAGACTCCTTATATCATTTACAATTTACATTTACATATCATATAGGTACATTTCCTAATAAGTAGGAAACATTTTATAGACTAAATGTTGAAATATTATTACGATAGTTATAAAATGCACGAATTTAAGTTCTGAAGATGATATTCGCTTTAAAATAATTAAATTTATTTTTAATACGGTCCTGTATTCGAAACGCTTTTAAGAGTGTCGCTGTTTACTATGTAAAGAAACGAAAAACTTTGAACAAGACGCCTTTTCTTCTTTTTTTTCTCTCTGTCTTGGAATACAATGTCCGCTTTTCTAAAGCATACTGGAAAAATATTACATTCATTATTCATGTTTTCATTTTCTTATACCGCTCGATTTTTTCTGCCTTCATTTCTCACTTTTAATAATAAGATTTAATTTTGGTTAGAACTTGATAAAAAATGTCGTTATTGTATTTATTTTGTTAATTAAATAGGAAAATGCAATTTAGAAAATACATCTCTTGGCCATTTTAGATTTAGACCAGATACTTTAAAGATAATACCTGTATAAATTATATTATTATATTATAAAAATCTTAAAATATGTAAAACAACAAAATAAAATATACGCGTTTAAGAGTTTTTCCAAAAAACTCAATGGTTTTCTCACCGATTTTAAATAAAAAATATTTTATTATTTGAGGGATAGTTTCACCTCCTTAGAATTCGAGTTTCGAAAAATCCCTTCTTATCAAACTTCTACACCCTAAAGTCAATCTGTTTTCCAAAAATCAGCTTTTTACGTCAAGCGCTTTAAGCAGGATCGTGATTAATCAATGACCAGATTTTTCGAAACACCCTGTACACATTTTTAAAAAATCTTAAAATATGTAAATCAATAAAATAAAATATACGTGTTTAAGCGTTTTTTCGAAAACTTGACCGTTTTTTAAATAAAAAAATATTGTAATAAATTATTTGTATACTTATCGAACCTCTACACCCTAGAATCAACCTGTATGCCAAAATTGAGCTTCTTCGGTTGAGTGGTTTGAGCAGGATCGTGATTAATCAGTATGTCAGTCACTTAAGGATTTTATACATATAGGATTAGTATAGACTAGTCGCCTGGTCTTCAAAGTGGCCCAAGTTGTTATTTTTTGTAAATCTAAGTTGATGGCAATCACTTTTCTTCACATTAGTGCAGCGGCAATTTTTTTTTTATTTTTGACAAATTTGGGATTTAGACGTCGCGTTGTCATGACTAATTTCCCAACTCAATTATACATTGGGGGGGCGGGAGTATCCCCCCATCACCCCCATAGCTTCACCACTGCTGGGAGAATTTTCAGGTCAGGGGCTTGGGACACCCTCAAAAAGAAAATTCCACTTCTCCAACTCCCAGTGGATGACATATCAAGAATTTTCAACTTTAAGAAACACCTCTCTGTAGTATTGAATAATAAAAAGGATTGGAAGGGAGAAACGTTTGCTCAGCATGCAAAAGACCATACCATAATGTGGTATACTGATGCTTCCAAAACCAAAGCAGGGACAGGGATAGGAGCATTTAGGCCGAAATCTAAACACTCTGAATCAATGGGCACCTACCCCAGCATCCTTCAGGTAAACCAACTAAAAGCGGAACTGAAGAACCTGAAAGACTTCATCCGTAACCTGGAATGGGAGTCTTCCTACGGTCTAAGACATTCGAAAAAGTTCCTCAGAACTTATGACCGAGAAAAAACACCAGAAGACCTTATCACTGAGTGAGCCGAGAACTTTCGTGTCATAAACTTTGATACGGCTGATGTAAAGGATGGAAAGCTGGCTTCTGTGGAACCGTCTCAGATAATGGCTTTTGTTAAAGCCCTGAGACTTTATGAGTTATAACTTATAACTCGTTATAACTCAAGAAAGGGGAACACACAATAGATCTGTAAGGTCGCGGTGGTTAACTCCACTCCTAAACATTCTACATTTTACATCTCATAACATTTCCTAGATCCCAATTGTGAGAGTCGAATTTGAAACACCTGTATAGTAAATAATTACTATTTTTTATATGTATTAGAAAATTTATTATGCATAAGTAAATTGTTTCGATACCTATTGTATGATTAAATTTTATTATCAAGAGGGCATTGTCTTTGATACCGTATTATAGAAAAAAAGGCGTCCAGTTACCTTGGGAATGACGATCGATGACATTCCCCATATAATTTTACATAAGTATAAAATCACAGCGATCTTCATTTCATAGCCATCGCCGTTTTTTTATCATATTGTAGTCAAAAATATATAATGAAACTAGCCCAGAGAATTATTGTTAACCTCTCATCATGCGCATTCCGCTTGACTATTAAACTTTTCGCTCACCCTGTATCTACTTAAATGCATCAACTGTTCTTGTTACAATGATTACTAAAATGTAAATTGTATATTTAAATAATGTAAAACGTTTATCAAAAGATAGGAGTATGATTAATATTACTAAATTTGTGGTAGCTCATCGCGCTGACTAACTAAATAAAACATTTTTAACAGTTAATGTGCTCGACAATGTCGATCACAACGCCTGTTGTTTTTGTGATTTTTATTATTGTTAAAGTAGTCAACGGAGAAGGTAAGAAATAAAAATATTAGTTAAATATACGTTTCATCCTAAAAAAACACATATATAAAATTTCACATTATATTATACAATTTGGTATGTTTATTAATTAAATGCGGTTAAGACTATTTTTAGACATCTTAAAATAACTGTTCGTTCATTAACTGTTCCCTTCATAAATAGATCTCGCATGTTTTTAAGGTTGCCTATTTAACTACACTAATATACCGGGTGAAACAACTTTGCCGGTTCCCTTATACAATTTTACATCGAGGTACGAATTGATTGTGCCTGACCATGGAATTCTGAAGTTGAGAACGAATGAAGAAATTACATTGATATGTCCAGGCGTGAGGAATTATTTTACAAATTTTTATTCAAGTAAGTTAAATCTAAATGTGTTCACTAAATTAAACAATACAGGGTGTCATTGAAATGGTGTAAAAAAATCGGGGGGTGATAGTACTCCTAGAAATAATAATAATATATAATAATAAGAATCTTTATTTCTCAAGTCATACAATTTTTTTATACATCCTATATTAAATAATATAGAATTAACCTAATTAATACAAATACTGTAAGCTGCTAGACGTAATTTGTTTAATAAATACATACCGTTTGAACTGCAGTGACTGCATTTTTTTCCAATTCTAGGACTGCATAAAATAAAGTATTTAATTAATAATAAAAAAGCAACGGTATATATTTTCATTTGCTTGTTATAGTTGTTTTTTTAAATTCACAACATTAATAAAAATATATTCATCCTAATTCCAACTCAAGAAATAAACTGAAACCCCAGAAGTCCGTAAACTTGTACGGGGGAGTCTATCAAAGTATCTGTGTCAATAAATAAATGTTTGAAATAAATAAGTATCTGTGCTAAAATACAATAATAAACGAATACTAAATATACAAGTAACGTACACGTCAGATTAAAGAAAAAATATATATGCATTTAATTACAAGTAAAGAACAACAAAAAAACAAAATGATCAACTTAATGTTATACCATAAAATATAAATACAATTTTCCATAGTACATGAGTGTTAAAATAATACAAAAAAAAATGCACAAAATACGTGGAAAAAAAAGTAATATATATATCATCAATAATTTTATCTAATTCTAGTTATACAAAAAAACAAATAAAACTTCTAGTACTTATAAATACTTGACTGAGATCCTGATCTCAAACGTCTTGCTGTTATCTGATCAGGAATTTTTTGAATAGTCTTAGATTTGTTCATAGGTGTTACACTAAAAATTACACTATTGTTTTCTTTGTTGTTTTTTTTGGTGATTGCCTCACTATGCTGTTGTGTCCTCTCGCTCTTGTATTCTTCTCCTAGTAATTCTTTTTGTAGTAGTTTTATTTCACTTATAGGAGCTGGAGTTGAGGGTGCGCTGTTGTTAGTTCTTTGTTCTAGTTATGGTTCTAGTTCCTCTGAATTTTGTTTCAAGTCCTCTACAGTATACGATCTATCTTCTATGTACAGTTTATTTCCCTTAATGTAGGATTTGTTGATAGGATTTTCTCTTGCCTTCTTTAAATGGCTTCTCAAGATTTTGTTTTCTTCTCGTTGTATTACAGTAAGGTCTTGTGAGATTGACACACCAGTGTTTTTTAATTTTCTACACTGTCTAAGAACTATATAGATAGATATAAATTCTACTTTAACTACACTCTTTGATTCATTTAAGTTATAATAATTGTTAAGGTCCGCGACTTGTAGATCTATATCTAGGAGCTCACCAAGTTTTTGGCAAGTTTCTGCTGGTGTGTTTTTGTCACTGCTTTCCAATCCAAAAACCAATATATTATTCTTCCTCGTAATACGATCAAGCATCTCTATTCTGTTCTGCAGGCTTGTATTTTCCTTTTCTAAATACTTGATTCTGTTATTTGCCGTTTCAATCTGCAACAATATTCTCGCTTCTAGGGCTTCTATAGTTGACTTTATTTCGATTCTGCTTTGTACAATTTCTTCCTTTATAACTTTTAATGCTTGCTGAATTTCATATGCCATTATAAAATTAATGCAATATGTATAATTTATACTTGTAAATAAATATTTAAAAATCGATCACTGTGTGCGACCTACTTCTTAGACTGATGACTCAACACACATCTACACTGTACGACGATACTTAATAGACTGTGTAAAAAATAGTAAAAAAAGTTCCTATAAGTATAGGGCGGAAAATGCATATTAAGGGAGTTAGGGGCACTGAAAGGGCGAATTTAAAAAACGGTTGTTTTGAAATTGTAGGCTTAAAAAATTTCGAAAAAAAAATCCTCTGTCATAAATTTTGACCCTAAATCAAATGGTGATACTGAAAAATTATTTGGAAAAGCGGAAAGGGTAGTTTTTACAAGGGTAGGGGGTTGTTTCGTAAATAACTTTTCTGAGGTTATTTTTTTTGTAACGTGGGTTTATTTTTTGAAAACTACATACTTTTTCTTACAAAAAAGGTACTCTTGTTGCACAACGCCCAGACCGATGGTTTTCGAGAAAATTGAAGGCAAAGAGTTTGCTCTGATGGGTTGCTAACTGGTTGCTTGTTTTGTTTCAACATAAACTTATGAAAGTTATGGCGGTTCAAAAGTAACCAAGTAGTTATCGAATAATTATTTGAAAAATTAAAATTTCATGATTTTTAAAACATCTTATTGCTTTAAAAAAACGAAATAATCCAATTACCAAAATTCCTTATTAAAATAATGCATTCCTTAATTCATTCATAGTAAATGTTCAAAGTGACCACCATTTATTTCAATGCAGACATCTGATCTTCTCCACGATCTGCGTACCCTGTGGAATATCCTTGGCGTTGTCCGAATTTGATTGGAACAGTCAATAATGCGTTGCCGTAGTTGCTTTTTAGTATTAATCGGCACTAAGAAAACCAAATTTTTTTTAAAACCAAAAAAAATTATTTCGTTTTTAAAGCGATAAGATGTTTTAAAAATCATGAAATTTATGATTTTCCAATTAATTATTTAATAACTACTTGGTTACTTTTGAACCGCCATAACTTTTTTTATTAACTAAGTTTATGTTGATTGACCAGTTAGCAACCCATCAGAGCAAACTCTTTGCCTTCAATTTTCTCGAAAACCATCGCTCTGGGCGATATGAAACAAGGATAGCTTTTTTTTGTACGAAAAAGTATGTAGTTTTCAAAAAATAAGCCCACGTTGCAAAAAAAATAACCTCAAAAAAGTTATTCGCGAAACAATCCCCTACCCTTGCAAAAACTACCCTTTCCGCTTTTCCGAATAATTTTCCAGTATCACCATTTGATTTAGAGTCAAAATTTATGGCAGAGGATTTTTTTTCCTAATTTTATCTCGTTTTTTAAGCCTACAATTTCAAAACAACCGTTTTTTAAATTTACCCTTTCAGTGCCCCTAACTCTTTTAATACGCATTTTCCACCCTATACTTATAGGAACTTTTTTTACTATTTTTAGGAGTACTATCACCCCCCGATTCTTTACACCATTTCAATGACACCTTGTATACAGCAGATTTATTTAAGAAAGCAAGATACAAATAAGTAGAATTATTTTATTAGATATTTTTTTATTGATAAAAAGGATATACAATCTTAGTAAACCGTAAAGCTTCCTTCAGAACCTCCCAATTAGTGGTCTCAATTAGCGTAGAAGTTTGTTTCTTTAATTTTAATGTAATCATTCGTCAAAAATGACGAATGATGAACGTCAAAATTAGTGGTAGACATTTTCAATTAGTAGAAAATGTTATCAAACTTTTAACTTTTCCTTCTTTTATACTTCAAAATTTGCGAGAAATGTCATTTTGGCCCTTGATTATTTTCCGTCAAGAGAAATTGTAATTAGAAATCAAAAGTTGATTGTTTTATAAGCTAAATATTAGGCTTTCTCTATGGATACAACTGACTAACGCAAGCTAGGATATTCTATTAATTTTAATTGTGTCTTTTAAACATTGTGAATAATCGTAAACTAAAAAGTATAAAGTGTAATTGAAACCACTAATTTATTCCACTAATTACGAGGTTCTGAATGAAGCCTTAATGTACTAGTTAATATTAAAGTATTTTTTTTACTTGTAATACAATTATTACGAATTAACAAAAATGCAGAGATTTTACCAAGAATATAAATTACATAGAAGTTGAAGTAAAGTTTTTTTTAATTTGTGTCCATATGTCTTAACTACTACTGATTATATTTATTGATTATATCTACTCATTATATTATATTTTTCAGGAAATTCAAATATAACGTCCGTAACTTGTGTTGATGGCAATACTGTTAAAATTCACAGAAATGAAGAGCACTTTCAAGATATTCGATGTAAAAAATCTGTCAAAGGAGATGTTTTGAAAACGTCTCACAAATGTAGCAATGGATATGGAAAAATTTATAAAATCGGATACCAGATAAAAAGAACAAATTTTATATCATTAATAACGTTATGTCATGTTTCTCCAATTGGTACAACCCTATATACGGAACATGTAGTGGATGGAAAAAACCTAAAATGTAAGTTTAAGTTCCATAAATAAACATAAACTGGTTTTTAGCAGTGTTTAAAAAAATGACTAAAACTTTTCGAAGTACGGTTTCCCATTTTTATACACGATGGCGCACCTCATTCCCCTCGGTTAATTCTACAAAAACGGAAAGATATGGAAGCAATAGTATATTGTTTTATTAGGAATAAAAATGACACTTTTTTGGCGAGGCTGTACATTTGACATACAGCCGAGGCACAAAAACTCGTTTTTACTCCGAATAGAACATGCTATTTTTCATTTTTCAAACGCGACAAATACTTTTTTAAGCAATTAAAATGTTCCAAATAATACAATAATATTTAAAAGTCATAGCTTGTATGTAATTATATATCGAGAAACTATGGTTAGGCTCGCTGAATTTGACACTTTATGTCAGTTTAATAATATATTTTCGTACTTTTATGCTTAGGCGTATAAGTGCCTTACTTTTATGCCTAGGCGTTAAAATGACTTTTTTATATTGTCAATCATGTCGCAAAAATTAATACTTTTGTGACGGTTGAAAAAAATATTTTATGGGTATATGTGGGAAGACAATAATGTACATAATTTAAAATTATTTTGCAATGTACAGGGTGTGTCAGAACTAAGATTCGTACCAATATTTTTTCTTATGGAACACCCGGCATTTTATTTAATTTTTGGATTCTTCGATCAAAAATAACGCATTTATTATAAGGAAGCCAAACTTTTACTAAAAAAATTGATTCCTTAAAATTTGCGTCCTTAAATGTACCTATACTGTGAATATTCATTTTACATACAATCTTCGTTATTTCAAACGCAACACTCTGTATTTTTTAAAATAAGTCGAAGCAAATTTAAATGCTCTTTCAAACTATATTAGGGTTTCCTGTACCTGTCTGGCTCAGATTTTAAATAAAGAGCGATCAGTAAAATGGCCACCAAGAGGGCTGATGTCGTCATTGAACTTTTCTAGCGACAGTACCTGTTTTCAAAATCGAAATTAGTTTGACAATTTAAATTTATAGCAGTATACTTTTATTTAAAATACCTAAAAAAGTATAAAATAATATATAATAAGTATTTACTACTTTATCAAGAAAAACGAAGAAGTAATTCTTTGATATATACTTGTATTCATTTAAAACTTCCCAATATGGCGGACTTCAGTATGGGAGGCTTAAAAAACGAAAATCTCTAGACTGGAATCGACTGTAGTTCAAATCGTTCAAATTAATAATCTGTGGTAAAGCTAATTGAAATCTGACACTTGGCTGACTGACGTTTACGGTTCCTTTTTCTAAATATTTTCATTATTTTTGGAGTTTTTATTTACAAATTCTACTTGGTTTTGTTCTTTTATTTAACCTGCAGCCTGCAGTACTAATTATATAGTTATAAATAATCTTTTCACCGATCGAGAAATGAGGAATAGGCTGGAAGATATTCAAAATGTGTAAAACGCTTAAAAACGTATTAGAAAGCATTGACTCGTCCACAAATTCGTGAAAATAAATTAGTCCAGATGTTTGTAAAAAGGTCTCTAATTATTTGGAGAAGTTTCCTCGTATCAGTAATTTTCAGGTTTGTAATATGTATATGATAATAAATAGATTAAAACTTATATTTCAGGAAACAGCGCGGGCATTACAGATTGTTGTAAATCAGTTTTAAAATATAAACAGGTTTAAAAGTTGAGTTAGTAGAGAAGATCTACTAATAACGTAATAAAGGTAAATAATGTTGGTAATGGGACCAAAGATCAAATAACACTTGAAATAGATAATATGTATATTGCATTGTTTTTATATTTCTTGAAATATATATATTTTTTACTTTACAGGATACACAAAGAATAATAAAAACTACAGTTACTCACTAAAAGTACTTAAGGTGTAAGTACTTAAGGTTTGTAATAGATGTAGTTAGAATATCAAACACCAAACCAAACCAAAAATTATGTTTTATTTTACTGGTATTCCTCACATTTGAAAGGAAAGTCATTTCATAAATAAGCAGAAGGACATCGTATAGTACACTCTATATTAATAATTCTTTTTTATCCTATATTTGTTACTTGACGCATCATTTACTAGGTATAAAATTTAGTACTGATTCCAAACCTTATAGTTGTGGTTGTGCTAAACAAACATTTCTGGCTTTCCTGACAGGAGTGTGACACAAATTTAATAAAGGTATAATGTGGATAATGTTCTGATTATTACAGTTTGCATGGATGACTGTTTTTGTATGTTGTTATTTTTAATAAAGTATATTTAATGAGTTTTTGAGTATTTCTTTTTCCCTCAGAGCATTGTGTTCTAATCTTTATATATAAATTTTCATAAATTAGGTATATCTACAAAATTTATTACCTTATAACTGTTTGCTAAAGACTTTGTAGTTGATACAGTTTAACAGTATATAAAAGAACTATTTAAATAAGATGTTTGAAAATATATAGGTAGCTGTTTTTGCACACATCAATTCAATTTGTGATTAACTGTACTGAAATAAAAACAAATTAAGAGAAATGGGGTGATCTATCAACTATAACATGAAACGCATATTATCCTATTTCCAAGTCTTCTATTAATTTTACTTTTAAACAGCTATAATTATTCAATAATCTTGATAATTCTAGGAACTCTCAGATATCGTCAAAACATGAAAACAAAAATTCACTTTCTACAGTTCTTACGCCCCTTTAACTAAAATATAAGAAACGGGAGTTAATATTCTCACTGAGAAAGTTTATAAAATACCTTTAAGTAAAATCTCTTCGGATCTGCGGTAAAATGCCTTTATTCTTATTAAATAATTTCAATAATCTATGTTTTTATTTATGATTTATGACAACCACCTAGTAATCTAACTTTAACGTCAACTTGACAATCCTGAAAAATGTTATTGTTAACCAAAGAGTAAATCAATTTCTGAATTCGCTAACGCCAACTTATTTTTCGTTAAAAAAAAATTACCAATTTTCGTAACTAGGTCGGCCATATTGAGGAACTTTTAAAAGAATTGTACTATATATTAGGATGACTTGTAGATATATTTGATTTTCTATAAAAGAGCCAATTAAGACAAATTTATTTTCTTCACTTCCAACAACACGTTTCTGCCTAATAGGTTTTTCATATACCACACATCAGTTCTGCGAAATAGGAAAAGTAGTTTTTCGAAGGAACACTTATCAAGAAAATTTCTATTTGGATATCTTAACATAACATAAACCCTTCAGGCCAACAAGCAATTTTTTTCACAAAATAAAATCACTATTAACATATTCATTCCTTCCGCCAGCAGATACTGCTTCATTTTTCTTGAAAAAATTATTGTAGATAAATTAAATAAAAGTAGGCTGTTATAAATTTAAATAAAGTCCATAAACTAATGTCGATTTAGAAAATAGCTACTGTCACTAGAAAATTGCCATGGCAACACCAGCCATCAGCCATCTTGATTGCCATTTTAATGAAAAATTGATTGAAAAATTATATTGAAAATATACTAAAGTTTTTAAACATATTTAACCCTTATAATAAGTACCTTTATAGGTCCAAGAATCCAAAAATAAAATAAAATACCGGGTGTTCCATAAGGAAAAAGATAACTTTGATATGGATCTTAATTCTGAAACACCCTGTTCATTTCAAAACCATTTTAAATTATGCAAATTGCTTCCCCGCATATACCCATATATAAAATTTGTTCTTTCCGTTTTTGTATAATCAATCGAACCGAATGACGTGTACCACCCTGTATAATAAAGATTAATTAATTTTTCTATAATATTTTTTTTTAATTTATATTGATCCGTTAATACTTGGATGTTTGTTTTATTTATTTATGTTTGTAGTAAAAATAAGATATGATGATATGTTACAATATAATATATAATATACAGGGTCCGGCAATAGTACGTCGGGCAGCTGTAGCTCCTAGAATAAAAAACTTGGGAATTTTGTTTAAGTGCAAACCTAGAGTATGTACTAGGATGTATTTCAGGAAAATATTTTAACTTCTATAGGGTGGCTCAAAAAAGTGTGAGAGGATCGGGATGATTTTTTTTAAATGGAACAAACACCCTGTATATTATTGCATTTTGGCTTCCTTTCAGATCACTTTACATAAACCTAAGACATGAGTAAATATATTTCGATAATTTCAGAGATATTAATAAATAAATAAAAATTATATATTTTTCAGCCTTTCTTAAAAAAATTATTAATAATACAAGAACTGTCCTGAAATCAAAACTGCATTAGAGATTTACTTTAAATAGTCTGTACTTACTTTGCTATAAATATGGAAATCGTAAATCATACAGGATGTTCAAAATTCTACGCCAAACTTTCCAAAATATACAATAATTTTTCTTTGTTTTTTTTTAAATGGGACACCCTGTATATTATTTTTTCAATAGATGGAGAATTAAAAAATTAACATTTCTATTTAGAGTATTTCAAAATTTTTAACAGTTTCGCAGATATTCCTGGTTTTGTATTTCATATGGCCATTTTCCACAGTAAATTTTTATCAAAGCCACCCAATGATTTTTCTCTCGTATTTTACCATTGAAAGCGCCATATGAAATAATGCTGCGTGTATCCGGAAAACTATTAAAAATTTTGAAATACTTTAAATATAAAAAATGTTCATTTTTTAATTCTTCATCAAATAAAAAAATAATATACAGGGTGTTCCATTAAAAAAAACGAAGTAAAATTATTTTATATTTTTGAAAGTTTGGCGTAAAATATTGAACATCCTGTATGATTTACTATTACTATATTTATAGCAAAGTAAGAAGAGACCATTTAAAGTAAATATCTAATATGGTTTTGATTTCAGAACGGTTCTTGTATTTTTAATATTTTTTTTAAGAGGGGTTGAAAAATATATATTTTTGATTTATTTTTTAATATCTCTGAAACTAATTGAAATAGATTTACTCATATCTTAGGATTATGTAAAGTGATCTGAAAGGAAGCCAAAAATGCAATAATATACAGGGTATTCCATTTAAAAAAAGTCATCCAGATCCACTCACACTTTTTTGAGCCACCTTATAGAAGTTTAAATATTTTCCGGAAATACATCCTGGTACATACTTTAGGTTTGCACTTAAACAAAATTCTCAAGTTTTTTATTCTAGGAGCTACAGATGCCCGACCCACTATTGCCGGACCCTGTATAATATGATAAAAAATGTTGTGTATGATATTGCAAAGTACGGACATAAGTATTTTTAATATTTTATTTATCCTATTTTGTTCTGTTGATATTTCTTCTTTAGTCTTTCATTATCTTTATATCAATTTTAGCAGCTATTATATACGAATATGATCACTAAAGAAAAACTTGTATTAATTTTTAGGGTTCCGTACCTCAAAAGTGAAAAACGGAACCCTTATAGGAACGTTTATTAATACTTATAGGATTACTTTGTTGTCTTCCCTCTGTCAATGTGTATGGCGCAAAAACGTATATTTCGACGCTCTCAAGGGAATCGAAATTCATAGGGTATTTTCCGTTGGATTTTCCTAGAACTAAATTTGTCAAGTAATACCGTCTTATACTAGAAGTATAGGGAAAAATTTGAAAAGGATACATTTGTAATTAAAACATAAAAAATATAGTCTTAACTAAAGTTCGTAATCAATAATCGAGGTTAATCAACGGTATGCGCGGTTATAATTATTGTATGGGTGACCAAATCTTTTTGTACATTTTTCTAAACTTTTACTAATTGGTACTAAAGAGGGACATCTGAAAGTAATATGTAAGATATATTTTCAATTAAATCACAAAAAAATCTGGATCTTGATGCAAGGAACGGCGGCGTTCCAAAGTTTGAATTGAGTTAATCGTGTCATGTAGGGTATCCTATGAAAGGGCACATTCTTAAAGAGATTATTAATTATTTGTATGATGTATGTATATAGTATTTTATTTATGACAAAGAAAAAAAACGGTATGGAACCCTCGGTAGGCGAGTCCAACTCGCACTTGTCATGTTTTTATAGTGTAGTATGAAACAGTACTATTTTGTTTTTAACAATAATTGATTGATGCTTCTATTTTAGATTCTTCTTTCTCTTTACGACCTGACTTCAGTACAGATGGTCTAAATGTTAGCATTCCAGCATCTCTGTCTTACAAAAAAGTGGCACAAAAATCGATGTTTAGCAAACTATTGAATTCGTCTATTCTCGCAGGACATTACATCAACGAAAATTCGTTTCTTGCCCGTGGACATTTAACACCCCAAGCGGATTTTCTACTTGCAAGTTCACAGTACTCTACCTATTTTTATATCAACGTGGCCCCGCAATGGTAAGTAAAAATGTATTATTATTTTTACTTCCGACATGCAAAATAGTTGACATGAATACTCATACTCCACACATACTCAGTTCCTATGCGTCTTTTTAGATTTTAGATTGTATGGGAGAGGGAAGTTGATTACAGAAAGGGTTCTGCATAGGCAGATTCTTGAGTGATATTTTTTCTAGCTGGGTTAGCTCTTTTTTGATAGCTATTCAATTATTATCAAATAATTTGTGTGAATGGGATGGTCTATCTGGTCCGGCGTGACTACAGGGTCGGCTCCCACTGGTGTATTTGAACCAAGTTTTCTTAAAAGGCTCTAGGCTTTCCTGCTGGAGTGTTTAAAGTCCACATTGACAACAGTTTGAGACCATCTCTCTCGTCGATTAGTATGAAAACTTCACAGAATTTCATCCGCGAGTTCTAGATCTTCATTATGGATGATTGCTTTACAGAATCGGCTGTAATTGTGCTGCTTCGGGGGACCCAGTGCAGAGTTTTATTTAGTATTTGTAGAAATTTCTCGCAATCGGCTTTGTTAAAATTCCATCTTGGATACCTATTGTAACTAGTCCTGGTCTGTGTTAGCTATGAATTCAGCCAGGACCTGTCTTTCTGAAGCAAGGGGACATTTCCTGTTTTCCTCGTAAAATAATAAAGGTTAGAATTGGAGTCTTTGCGCTATACAGCGGATCAGACTGTGCCCGGTTGCTTAGCATCGCGAACAAGATAAAGATTATTATCTTTTACCCAGTTAGTTATTTCGATTCCAGCCTCGTCATCACTATTGAGGACCCATGCTGTGCCACTGTTGAAACCGCCAATGTACACAGCAGGGTGATTTTTGTCGGTACGAGTCGAGCTGCCGCTAGCCATGTCATACTTGGTGGATTATATACACTGGTGGTTATGGTAAGAGAGTGAATATTGACGACAATCCTATGGATGTGGCCAATGCAGTCAGATGATAATAGTGAGGCATTCTTTATAGAGTTGTTAACGTATGTGGCTAATCCATAGGTTCGGTGGTATAGGTATCCGATGTATCAAGGAATGTTTCCTCTTATTTTGAAATTGCTCCTGACTATCCATGTGAGTTTCCTGCAGGGTCACAACATCGACGTCAATGTCAGTCAATAATTTAGAAAGGCATTTACATTTGCCAAATACAGAATGACAGACCGCGACGGAATGGCTAATTAATTGTGCCAGATTTTAAGCGTTAACTACGGTACACCATGAAGAGGATCTTGAACCATAAAATCACTGTTCTTTGCACTAGATGCAAAAGCAGTGATTTTTGTATGACTGTGTACTGCTATTTCTCTAACCGACAGAATCTGCACATGACTTCGTCTGCCTATACCATCAGATTTATATGATCTTGTCATGTAAAAAAGTAAACCAACTATCTTTTTGACAATTTTCCAGTCTTTGCTTATCAAATCTGCCATAACTTTTTCGTCTTCAACCTGGTTAGTTGTTTTGACATTCTAGGGAGTTGTTTTGGCCACGCACACATATTTTTTATTATGTTTGCAGCACCATAAAAGACTTCTGGTGTGACGAATAGAATTGATAGATTTATTTGGCCATTTTATCTGCCTTTCCATTACTCAGGTTACCCTAAATGTATATAAACTATATATAAGTACAAGTTTTTTTGTCTATCTGTAGAAACTATATCCGTGTTCTAACCCTAGAATATATACTGGGTGGTCCGAACTGTATTTCGGAAACTTCGGCAGCATATTCTGTAGATAAAAATAAGTAAAAAAGTTCGTATAAATGTATGTCCTAAAATACTTAGTTTCGGAGATACAGGGTGTAGAAATTTCCTTTTTATTTAGATTTTTTCTAAATAATTTCTGAAGTAACAGCAATATTTGAATGAAAACTGGTGTCTGGGAGTTTTTTGACATGAGAAATTTGATTTTGATGTCAATATGGCTCCTACTGGTAGAGGGCGCCACCTACATCTGTTCTAACTGTTTTGAAGTTTAATAACTTTTTGCCCGTACCTGTATAAAACTACCGAGAGAAAAAATATACATCTCTGTGTATTTTTACGTAAAAAATATATCTTTGTAAAAATCGCTACGAGCAACCGTTCTCAAGATATTTAGAATGGAAATAGTCAATACATACCATTAATGACGAAAAATAAACACGTTTAGTAGATAGTTATTTCACTGAAATAATAAATTTGGAAAAATTTTTATTTTTTTTCTGCAAAAAATGATGATAAAACAGTTTTTGTTGAACATTTGGTGCAAAAACATTTCAAATTTATGATCTCAGTCTAGTAACTATTTAGTCAACATGTTTAATTTATGTCAGTGATGACAGGTATTGATAATTTCGATTCCAAATATCTCTAAAACCATTACTCGTAGCGATTTTTACCAAGAGACCTTTATTACGTAAAAAGCGTTGCAAATGTATATTTTCATTACTCAATAGTTTTATACAGGTACGGACGATAAGTTATTACTCTTCAAACCAGTTAAAAAATATGTACGTGGCGCCCTCTACAAGTAGGAGTCATATTGACATCAAAATCAAATTTCTCATGTCAAAAAACTTCCAGACACCAATTTTAATCCAAATATTGACGTTACTGCAGAAATTATTTGGAAAAAATCGAAATAAAATGGAACTTCTACACCCTCTATCTCCGAAACTAAGCATTTTTGGACATATATCTATACGAACATTTTTACTTATTTTTATCTGCAGAATATACTGCCGAAGTTTTCGGAATACAGTTCGGACCACCCTGTATACTTACGTGGATGTGGATAAGTAAATCACTACGGAAACTGTTGCCAACATATCAACGACTTCCATTTATCTTTTTTTTTGTTGCGCGGTGCTTCTACTCAACTGCTCAGGACCTATCGTCCGGGCGCCAAATTTGAACATTAATTTTAAAAATTTAATTTGTAAAATGCTTATATTTGAACAATAAATTGAATGTTTAATGTCACAAAAATTAAATTATATAAAAAATACATTTAGCCACTCCGTACGAATATCAATATTCTTAGGAAATCTAACCAGAAAGTATGCATGTGCTTTAATACGAGTATAAATAAAAGAACAACTGAAAAATTTACTTGCCTATGAAAAAATAATTTCGGGACCTTTATATTAGAACTTTCACACACTAAACACTTTCTAGTCATTTTTACGAGTATTTAGAAAGTCCAACAAAAAAAAATAGAAATATAATTGCACAAACTTAACCTCTCACTGAGCACACTTGCATCCTTGGCTATATAAAAGCGGTCGATAAAAGAGTAATTAATACAATTTTTAAATTGAAAAACGCAAAAAACAAGCGTCGTTATACAATGGAAATAAGATTATGACATATGATTATGACAAGATTATGACAATATGATGACAATGAAAAGTTGGTTTCCATAACAATGTAGAATTTGTACTTTCTAAACCGTATAAAATTGTGATTATTTTGGAAATACATGCAACTGTTAATACTCATGCTCAAAGTAAGGTCCTCGAGAAAGACAAACCTATTGAACGTTTCATAAGTGCAATTAAGAAGGTTTGAAAATGGCATGCCGCTAAACTTATGGCGTTGATTTATCCACGTAAGTATATATGATCTAGGGTTCTAACAATGTTGTCGTGCATACCGATTTTGTTAAAACTTTCACAGTGCATAACTCAAGTTATTCACGAAAGATATATGAAAAATTTGAATGTTCTTTATATTTTGTTCCATAATAATATGTAGTTCAGATATTATTTATTTAATTGCTTGAATTAAAATTGTTAATAAAAATTGTTAATTAATTGTTAAAATTAAAATTATCATTTTTGTACAAACCAAACCAAATTAAATTTCAACTATTGTTTTAGGCAAACTATCAATAACGGAAATTGGAAAAGCGTAGAATCTGTTGTACGAACATTGTCACGGACTTACGGTGATTTAACAGTATATACAGGAACACACGATATCCTAACATACGAGAACAATCATAGAATTGAAACGAGAATTTATCTTGCATTAAACGAGATATTACCAGTCCCAAAATATTTTTGGAAAATTGCTTACGATCCGAAGAGTAGAAAAGGAATCGCCTTTGTGATTAAAAATGATCCATTTACAGAGATTTCCAATAATTTCTGTACAGATATTTGTACAACTGCTGGATATAGGAATTCCGCTTGGAAGAGTAGATCTGGTGGTTATGTTTGGTGTTGTGATGTGAAAGAATTTAGAAACATAGTCCATATACCTCCACTTATTCTGAGTGGAAATGGTATACTGACAAACAATCTGTTCAAGCTAGCTAAGGCATTATTCACACAGAATGACAATCAGTAGGTATAGTTATTTTTTAACATTATAATAATTATAGTATTGTATAGTATTTATACTTATATCACTTGCATAAGTAGGTATATATTTAGTTGTGTTGTTATTAGTACCATCAATTTCATTTAAAGCAGACAAGCCGTATATATTTATTTATATTTGCCGCAAATTTATATTTGAAATTATTGTTGTCTCAGTTGAATTATTTATAGTATTATCTGGTATTTTTTAAAGTGTATACTTATTTACTATAGTTTTTAACTGACAAAAAGAGTAAGGGTACAAAGTTTAGGAAGAAATAAATTGTTGGCTTTGTAGATACTAATCAGTTTCAGAAAATAAATGAATTATTGTTTATTTATTTTAATTTTTATTCAAACCAAATCAAAAACATTTTTATTTAACAAATCATTGCATTTGTATTGTTTGTTTTTTATTGCGATTTTTTTTCATTAATTTCTTGATAAATAGCAGTGATCACTGATCAGTGCATCATTGGTCGCGTTCATCAGGACGTAGCGCTACCGCAGCGATCACTAATTTTCTGCTGAACGCGCCGATTAGTTGTGAGCGCTCTGGGATCAGTCGCCATTTTTTCCATCAGATTTAAAATACGCTACGCTACCGATGCATGATGGATTAAACGTCACATACGCCAAATGTCACAAAATGTTTTGGAAAACGAAAACAAACCATTTTGTTTATTGTTCTCGGTTGACTAATCCACTCGATTTGTGCCAAAAAAGAGTGAAAACAATTTAATATGCTTTGACTTAGATTATTTAATATGACTTAGACTATATGCATTACTTATGATTTGTAGACCTTAGACAAGGAAAGAGAGTTCCTTGTCTAAGGGATGCTAAAAAGTGCGTTCAGCAGGACAACCAATCGATGGCACATCGCTCACTGATCAACTTGTCTTGATGAACGCGACCATTATTATATGAGATATCCTATTAATATTATAAACGCGAAAGTTTGATGTTTGTATGTATGCAATGGATGTTTGTTACTTTTTGACGCAAAAACTGCTGAATGGATTTTAATGAAACTTTACAATAATATAGCTTATACATCAAAATATCATAACAGGGGCCGGCAATAGTGCGTCGGGCCTCTGTAGCTCCTAGAATAAAAAACTTTAGAATTTTGTTTAAGTGCAAACCTAAAGTATGTACCAGGAGATATTTCCGGAAAATATTTTAACTTCTATAGGGTGGCTCAAAAAAGTGTGAGTGGATTTGGATGATTTTTTTTAAATAGAACACCCTGTATATTGTTGCATATTTGGCTTCCTCTCCGATCACTTTACATAATCCTAAGATATGAGTAAATCTATTTCGATGGTTCCAGAGATATTAAAAAATAAATCAAAAATATATATTTTTCAGCCCTTCTTAAAAAAATTATTAAAAATACAAGAACTGTTCTGAAATCAAAACTATAATAGGTATTTACTTTAGATGTTATGTTCTTACTTTGCTATAAATATGGTAATCGTAAATCATATAGGATGTTCAATATTCTACGCCAAACTTTCTAAAATATAAAATAATTTTTCTTCGTTTTTTTAAATGGAACGCCCTGTATATTATTTTTTTATTAGATGGAGAATTAAAAAATGAACACTTTTTGTATTTAGTTTTGCGGATACACGTATTATTGTTTCATATGGCGCTTTCAATGATAAAATACTAGAGAAAAATCATAGGGTGGCTTTGATAAAAATTTACTGTGGAAAATGCCATATGAAATATAAAACCGGGAATATCTGCGAAACCGTTAAAAATTTTGAAATACTCTAAATACAAATGTTCATTTGTTAATTCTCCATCTATTGAAAAAATAATATGCATGCAGCTATTTAAAAAAACGAGGAAAAAATATTTTATATTTTAGAAAGTTTGGCGTAGAATATTGAACATTCTGTATGATTTACGATTTCCATATTTATAGCAAAGTAAGTACAGACTATCTAAAGTAAATATCTAATATAGTTTTCATTTCAGAACAGTTCTTGTACTATTAATAATTTTTTTAAGAAATATATTTATTCATGTATTAGGATTATGTAAAGTGATCTGAAAGGAAGCCAAAAATGAAATTATATACAGTGTGTTCTATTTAAAAGAAAATCATCCCGATCCACTCACACTTTTTTGAGCCACCCTATAGAAGTTAAAATATTTTCCTGAAATACATCCTAGTACATATTTTAGGTTTGCACTTAATCAAAATTTCCAAGTTTTTTATTTTAGGAGCTACATATACCCGAGGCACTATTGCCGGACCCTGTATAGGCTATACTTTATAAAGATATTGTGTGAATTGTCCAATATATAACGATAAAGTTAAAAAATAGCATCTCATTGTCTTGTCCCCGACTGTATAGTGTCGTGGCCAAGAAATTGCACCAAGACGTATCACGATGCCGGATGGGACTACCATGTCCCTCACACCAGGAACCTCCTACTGGCTGTGGTTATGTTTCACGGGCAGAGGGTGTGGTCTTGGGTTAATCGCTCGGACCAGGAGGAGATACCTCACCAAAAACCCCTCACCAAAAATCTAAATCCTATGATGGCGGGAACAACTCAAAGGGATGCGTGGCTAGATAGAAGGCTAGCCTCTACTGGTCTCAACCTTGGGACACCAGGGGGCAACCCATTGTATTCTCGTCTTCCTTGCTTCTATATACGGGGCTCTGTAGAAGTGGACCTACTAACACTTGCGGTGCAATAAAATTGATTTCAAATCCAAGGAAGCAATAGAGAAAGTATAAAAATATCCTCTGTTTTAGATTCGGGACAATGGAGATAGATCCTCCAGCCTCCACCTTACGGGTACCTCAATTGGAGACAAGCTCCTCAACTGTGAAGGGCACGGAGGGCTAAACCCCAACCTTGGAAGGCTGTATACCCTCGTAGGAGGTAGATACTCACTCCTCGAAAGATGAACATCTGTTGTTAGAGGAGGATGGGAAATAGCCTGTCGCCCCGACAACAGGAAGATCCCCATGTATAATGAGTTATAGACTGTATGATGAGCTATAACTCAAGAAAGGGGGACACATTAGATATTTAAGGTCACGGTGATTAACTCATCCTCCTTACTCATTCTATACTGTCAAACGTCTTTACCCAAGGTGAATGCCGCTGCTTTAGAATACACAAAAAAGTATACTATAGTCGGCCCAAAGACTCTGAGAAGATTTCGACAGATGACACCTAAAAAACGACAGAAAATACAATCCTGTGAATTAAAGTGATAGACACAAAACTGTCACTGTCAGAGATCCTTAAATTATTGATATAAAAATTATTGATATAAATAACCCCTACTCTATCATAAGTTTCTGAAGTAAAAATTCGGATTAAAAATAATTCGGAAACTTAAATCAAAGTTTAATATATAGTTTGAGAAATGTTAGGGGTTCAAGTTTTCAGATACCAATCTACTTTTAAAAAATATTTTTTATTGATTAGTTTTGTGTGTTTAAAAACTTCCAGGGTCGGACTGGTTCCCAATTAAAACAGTTTATTTATTTTTAAGTAGATTGAAATGAACAGAAAACAGAAAAAGTGAAGTCATTTTTTTTTCTGAAGTTTTCCCTAAAATTATGAATGGAATTTTCGAAAAAAGAGTTAATAAAAAGAATGAGGGTAGCGATACCTCTATTAATTTTTGTCCAAAAAGGCTTCAAAAAATCCTATATGGGTTTTTCGTCACTGCAAGAAAATCTACAAAATAAAGTAGTTATTTTTTGTAAATACATCTGCGTTAATCCAAACGGAAACTACTTGTCAGAAGTTAGATATACAGATATACAAATTTGCCTAACGAACAAAAAATGCTTAACGTTTCGTAAAGTTTATCTCTTTCCGTCGTCGGAAGCAAAAAAATACAAAGAATAAAGAAAAAAACTATTTAAAATATTTAAATGCAACTATTCGAGAACACTAGTTTTTTTTATAACAGATACGTCTATAAAAACCGTTGACGTTCTGTTAAAATGACATTATATCAAGTTAAGCTTTAAAATTAACAATTACTACCTGACAACAATTACCTTAATAAGGTAAAACCAAAAAGCCCCAAACTTTCTGTATTATTATTTACAGATGCATGAGCAATACATTTATTTTTATTAGATTGTATTAAAAAAGCCTCTGTTATATTTATTTTAGAGGCTATCGCTTCTTTTATTATAATTTTGGCGTTACCCTTAAATGTTCGAATTAAAGAACATAAAGATAAGAACATAAGAAAGGGAGATTTTCACAAATCTAAGATTTGTCAGCATTCATGGGACACAGGGCACAGAATAAATTTTAATAACGCCAAAATTATAATGAAAGAAGCGATAGCCTCTAAAAGAAAAATAAAAGAGTCCTTTTTACTACAATCTAATAAAAATAAATGCATTGCTCATGCTTCTGTAGATGTTAGTAATATATGGCAATCGCTTCTTTGATTTTAAAGAATATAACATACGCAAAAATTAAAAATAATCATTATTTCATTAAAGTTAATTATTAGTTATTAGTTCATATTAATCCAATATGAACTAAATATACCTGATACCACTCAAAATAAGACAACAAAGAAGTTCATATTTTCGTTTTCCCCACGTTCCCGTTGCGAAATTCCCGACTTTCATCAAGAAAATCGGGCGACTTTTCGTCAGAGTTCTCCCTTCTCCACTTTGTGGTGTTATCCTGTCTCCTGCAATAAAGGAATAAATCGGGTTTTATGGTTTTACGGTCCTGCTGAACCGGGAGCGGTTAAATTGGCCGGAATAAAGCGTTCGTCAGTTAATCGGGCGCATTATTCATCTCGCGGCTTTTGTCAAATAAACCGTCATGATTATTTGTCAGGCGCGTTGCTTGTAAAACAGGCCTCTTTTTGGCTTTCTTTGTTTTTTTGAATAAAATTATGTACATTTTTTTACGCTGCCAGTATTTATATTACCAGAGGACTGGCCAATGTATGTTTTCTAATAATACAATTCAGTACTAGGTACGAGTCATGAAGACCTATGCATGCGAATCCTGGATACTTAAAACGGACATCATAATAAAAACTGCAGGTTGCACACTTGACGATAATATCGCTTATAGATCAGAATAACACATAGGCTATAATTTATAAAGATATTGTGTGAATTGTCCAAAATATTACGATAATGTTGAAAAATAACACACGGCTACTTAAAAACAAAGCTACTTAGTGAGATGGAGGACGGGTTTACTTGAAAGCGATAACAAACAACACTTGGTTTTTGACAATACAAAATTATTGAGTTTTTGAGCTGTCAGAGGCCCGTATTTAGGAGGAGGGGCCAAATTTTAAAT